TTTTTTTTGCAAAGCTACATAAACAAGCTTATAAAATAAATTCAATTTTTTTTTTTCAAAAAATAAATCATTCTACAAAATCAGGCTTATTTGATTATTTAATATATATATATATATATATAGAGAGAGAGAAAGGATCATATGAGAAAGAACTATAGTGAAAGAAATAAGAATGATTGTAGGTCTTTAGATTTAGCAAATCAACGGTCATGATCAAGTCAAACTTTAAAAATTCAGTCAAACATATAATGGCATTATGGTATATATTTGAATAATAATGGTCAAATATATGCATTTGACCAATTATTAAGGGTATAATAGTCATTAAAACAAATAAAAAAATCTGGTGACCCCACCCCATCCCTCTCTCTCTCACACCAACATACAATACACTCACAGACCCGCCGCACACACACACACGCACAAACACACTCCGGCAACAACACACCACCACCCGCCCGCCGCCTCCCAGTCGCCATCCGCCACTGATAGACCGCCGTCGACCACGGAGATGGCCTCCACCAGCAGCACTGCCTCTGCCTTCCGTCGCAAGCTTTTTGGCCACCGGAGATGTCGACGTCAGCCACAACCCGAAGCTTCACGCCGGTCACGTTCGGTTGTGCTTCGACGCAACGCCTCTCGGCGGAACGCCACGGTTTCGAGGCCGCAAAATCCAACCTGAGCTACCGGAGCCTTCGAGTTGGTCGCGGATGCGGGAAGACGTCTGCCGCCGTCATCGCCGGAATACAAGAGTCACTGATGTTCGGAACACGACCTTCTCGCTGAGAGGTGAAATCGAATCAATAAATGCTGGTGAATAAGAAATGAAAATGTGCAGATCTAGTTTCAAGATTTTAGAGGCATGTATTTGGGAATTTGATAAATGTAAGGGGCTTAATTGCAATTCTAGGGTTTTATTAAATTTCAATTTAGTAATGGGTAAAATTTATAAACCTGATCCAATATTCTAGCTTTCCATCCAAAGCTTTATAAGTGACTTTTCCTTACCGACTCGGCTGACATGATTGGAGGAGATGCCCTCTTGTTTAGTTTTTATTAAATTTCAACTTACTAATGGATAAAATCTATAATTTAGGAAAAGTATATTAACACAATAATGATAACGGAAGTGTCAAATATTATTTAATAATTGCATATTATAGATTAAATGAAATATAATTGAATAAAATAAATTTATTTAAAAGTAACTAAAATTTAATTGAATCGAAATATAAAATTTCGAACCGAAAATTCTAGTTCGATTGTTTTTGGCGGCTAGTGCAATATGATAGACATTGACGTGCAATTTGTATAATATCATTGTGCAGTTGTAATACATATAAATACAAAAAAATATTAAGAATAATATTTTTCATGTAGTTAAGTAGGTTTGGTTTTTTTTTCAGTTATTTGAAAATAATAATAATAATGTCGACCTCAAACTGAAATAATCGTGATTTTAGAAGTAAACACATATTATCGAACCGAAACGTAAATTTCAAACTGAAAAAATTAATTCAGTCGATTAAGTGCAATTCGATATTGACTAATGTGCAATTCATCCAACAGTATGGTGCACTTGCAGTGCATGCATTTTTAATAGTATGTTCTAACCCAAACTAAAATTAAATTTAAATAATTGGTAACCGAAATAATATAAATCTTACAAATGATTTAATATTCAAATTATAAAAAATATATATTTAGTATTTTTAATATTTATATTTAATATTTTTCTACATGAAAATAAATAATATTTGTATAGAAAAATATATAAATAATTATTTTTTACATAGTTAGTTGGTTTGATTATTTTGGTTTTTTTTTTTTAATAATGTTGATATTGAACTGACATAATTTATATTTTTACAAATGAAAATAAATAATCGAGCTGAAATATAAGATTTTGTAACGAAATATAAGATTTCATTCAGTTTCGATCATTATGTGCAATCCGTCTAACATTATGGTGCAACTTGGCAGTCATTGAAGTGCAATTCGTCTAACACTATCAGGCAATCGGAGTGTATTTATTATTTATTATTATAAAAGTATATTTATTAGTTTTTAATATTTTATATCTATTACAATTTTACATATTAAAAGTTTTAAACATTGTACACTTTATTTATCATTAATATTTATTTACATGCAGTTTCGATCATTAGGTGCAATTCGTCTAACATTATGGTGCAACTTGGTAGTCGTTGAAGTGCAATTCGTATAACACTATCAGGCAATCAGAATGTATTTATTATTTATTATTATAAAAGTATATTTATTATTTTTAATATTTTATATATATTACAATTTTACATAATAAAAGTTTTACACATTGTACACTTTATTTATTATTAATATTTATTTACATGCAGTTCCGATCATTAGGTGCAATTCGTCTAACATTATGGTGCAACTTGATAGTCGTTGAAGTGCAAGTTTCTAGTACTATCGTACAATCGGAGTGTATTTATTATTTATTATTATAAAAGTATATTTATTATTTTTAATATTTTATATATTACAATTTTACATATTAAAATTTTAAACATTGTACACTTTATTTATCATTAATATTCATTTATAAGATATTGTTATAAATTACATATTTGGTCATGAATAAAAAATATTCAAAATTAATAAAATATCAAGATTGTCCCTCAATAATATCTACTCTAAAAAATATCAATTAAACCCTAAATCCCTAATTTAAAATTACAAATTTATTACACATTTACTAAAGTTTCTGTAAATTGCACATTTGGCACATGTACCAAATTGAAATATATTCAATCTTTATTATTTTGCAATCTAACCCCTAGACAAGATTCAATTCTCAAAAGAATGCCCTAATCCCCAATCTCATCTTCACCCTCCACCACGTCCACCCGCTGGCGTCCAGCCCTCTCCGGCAGTTACACTCTGGCATCCAGGTTCATCGTATTTTCTGGTCGTCTCAGAGCTTTTCACGCCGCGACATAAGCTCCGTCGCCAAGTTCCAGCCGGTGGGTGATATCGCCGGCGACCTGTTCGAGCTTCGCGTCGTCTGACGGCGACCTGTTGCCGGAGTGTATTAGAGATGGCCTCAACTCATCCGAGCTTCGTGGTGCAGGAGGATGACTGCAACAGATCGAAGCTCCTTCACGTCCGACGGCGCGTCTGTGTACGGTGGAGTTGCGGCGGCAGGAGGTTGTCGACGGTGGAGGAGCTCTCGGATCTGTTGGCGGCTGAAGACGGTCGACGGTGGAGGTGCTATCAGACTGTTTCCGGCGTGGATACCGGCCGGTGGCAGCGGCGGAGGCTGGCTGGCGGCAGATCTCTGTGTGTGTGTAATGTGTTTACAGATCGTGTGTGAGTGTTTATGTGTTTAGTGTGTGCGTGCGTGTGTTGTGTGTGTGTTATGGGTGTGTTGGGTGTGTGGGTGGTGATGTGGTATGATGATGTGGGTGGTGTGTAATTGTAATGACCAAATTACCCTTAATGAAGATATAAGTTTGACTTTTTTTTAGTCATTAGATCATCCGATCTAATGGCTACCATTCATTCTCATTTCTCTCACTAAGTACCATTCTCATGTGAACCCAACCCTATATATATATATATAGGTAAAGGATCATATGAGAATGATTCCTAGTGAAAGAA